ATGTAATTTTTTATAAATAATTTTATCGATACAATTACAATTAAATTTAAATAAAGAAATTCATACAATTACGTATTACTTACACTGATAAAATGAATTAATAAACAAAAACATTCTATCAATAATAATTAATATATGAACAATTCATTAGCCCCCCATTTCTTAAACAACCCTCAAATCTATAATTAACAGCCACTTCAATCCCTTGACTTTTCCAATCATAACAATAGTTTTATTGTGAATTTTTTATTTTAAATAAATTTTTTATTTTTTAATTTGAAAATAATTTTGAAATGTTAATTTTTTTATTATATATTTTTATAATATTTATATTTTGTTTGAGTTTTTAATTATTTTATTGTTTTTTCTTGAATAAATTTGTTATATAAATACATAATTTTATACATGTTATTATTTATTTTAGATTTTATAAAAATATATTTGTTTATAAATTTTTAAAATTTATGTTAAATTACGAATTCAGGTGTGTTGTGATATAAATAATAATTTGTTTAACAAGTTCGTTTTATATTTTATTAATTTTATTATCGAGTTATAATTTTTATATATATATAAATTTATATGTACATAAATAATTAATAATGAATTAAAAAAAGTATAAAAAATACACATTCTTAAAAGAAAATGCTTGCAAGATAGTTTTTCTTTTTACGTATAAAATTAAAAAGTAACAAGTTTACACTCGCTATATTATATCATCAAAATTATGTAAAAAACACATATCCTTAAAAAGAATCCCCCCCCTCCTCTCGCGAATAAAAGTGAGTACTGACCCAAGTTACCATGTTCTAATGTTGAAAATTAAAAATCTAACACTCAAATATAAAACAAATGAAGAATCTGGATAGCAAATATTAACAATTCCTACAATCTTAACAATGTTCTGTAAACAATCACTCGCCACAACATATTCGTAAGCATATACGTAAGTTTTTTATAGAATAATTGTGGTTATTTTTTATATAATTTATTATTTTAAAATATATATTAATAATTTTTTTATTTTTTAAAAATTATAATTAACATCAAAATATTTTAAAAACATAAAAAATATATTAATTTAAAATAAATAAATAAATTTAATTTATTTAAAAAATAATTTTAAAATATAAAAACAAACAAATAACTCTCACATTAAGAGCATCTCCAATCCAAAATCTCCAATCCAAAATGCTATTTTAAAAAGCTAAATTGATAAAATCATATTTTGAATAGTATAAATATAGTTTATTTTACTATATCTATTCCAATGAAAAAAAGTCATTTAAAAATCTATTTATATTAAAGTAAAAAAAAACAAGTATTTTATTATTTATTAATATATTTAATGTTATTTTTTTCACATATCTATATTTAATTGGTTTATCTTTTTAGTGGTTTTACTTTATTAGTTTTGTTAGTTTTGGCTCTTTGAAGAGATATATAAAAATAATATTTATAGAAAAGAAAAGGTATTTTAGTATTTTGTTTGGTTAGAATATGCAAAACAAGTAAAAAAAATTAAAATATTAATTATTTATTTTTAATTATTTATTTATCTTTTTCATTGAAGATGTTCTAATGGTTTTTATGCCGCCATCCAACTAGGGATGTACAGTCTTTTGGCTTTCGGATGCCTTTGCTTCCTTTTTTCCGCCTGGTTTCCATCGATGGTGGAGTTACTAACGGCGTGGCGTGGATGGTTGCATTGGCTGCTGTTAGTGATTTAGTGATTATTTATTTTTATATTTTAAAAATATTTTTTATTTTTTTGATATATCAATGTTAAAAATAATTTTTTAAAATATAAAAAAACATAATTATAATGTATTTTCTAAAAAATAATATTTTTAAAAACAATAACACTTATAATCTTAAATACTATCAAAATCTATTGGATTAGTTGGTTTTTTTTTTTTTTTTCACTTCTGCTAACTCAATCATATCGTTGGTGACGGCTATGCAAATTAGTGTCCCTAAACCGCAGTGGACGGCCAGAACAAAAACCCTAGTCAGGTAATGCATCAAGTATAACAAAATATTTTTTGGAGAGAAAAAATAAATATACTCCCCGCCTTCACCTGGCAATAAAATATTCAATGAAAGGAACAAAACGTGCCTTCCGTGGACTGGAAAGAAACTTTTTTTTTTTTCAACCTATATATCTTCTTCCCCGTACCCTTACTTTAATGTTTCTATAATGTTTGGAAAAAGATTAAATTTTTTAATATATGCTTGGTGCAGTTTAAACTCCTTATCGTAATACCATTTTATTTTAGCCTTTTACCATTGTTAACAAAGTATTAAGAGTAACATCAATGATGTTACATGACGAAATAATTTAGATTTGTAAGAGAAAAAAGGTTTTTTTAATATTTTTGAATTAATAATATTAAAATTAATTTTTTTAAAAATATAAAAATAATATTATTTTGATGTATCTTATTAATTCAATAATTATTTATCTATTCTTATTAAGAAAAAAACACACTAATACCGAGAAATGAAATGTTCTATAGTACATTCGCAGCCACTTGCTTCATTTTCTAGCCAGCCACACAGATATCAAACTAAAAAATATAGAAACTCCCAGAAAGATAGAAACAGCGCAAATCACGATTCCTTGGTAAATGCGAGTGTAAAAGAGAGTAATATAATAAAATAATATTTGTTTGTTTGTTATCCCCAAAGAGACTGAATTTTATAAAGCCAAACTTGTACGGTCTGTTTGTTGTTGTGCATTGAAAGTTTTTTTTAAAAAAATTATTTTTTTATTAATTTTAAATTAATATATTTTTAGTGCTTTTAAATTATTTTAATGTACTGATATTAAAAATAATTTTTAAAAAATAAAAAAAATATTATTATCATATATTTTAATATAAAAAATTATTTAAAAAACAACAAAACCATCCAAAGCATCTCTACATATGAGAAAAAAAATCTTGTGGATCGGATGAAACAAAACTCCTATAAAGTTTTTGACGTTTTCTTCCCCTCAAAACATATTAAAGGCGGGTGAATGGACACGATTAATCTAAACAAACCATGACCCCTTTATGCCTCCGTGGACTGGAAAGATACTTTTGTTTTTTTCAAATACCCTTACTTTAAAATTTTTAAAAATAATTTTTTTTAAAATAAATTATTTAGGCGCATAGAGTCACGGGCGTGTGCGTTAAAGCATCTCCAATAAAAAAGCTAAATAAAGAATCAAAAATAAAAACTAATATTTTAGTTATTTTAGCTTGTTTTTTTAATTTTAAATAAAAAATCAAATAAAATACTAAAATATTTTTTTTATATAAATTTTATTTTTATATATCTCTCAAAAGAACCAAAACTAATAAAGTGAAATCAATAAAAGAATAAGTCAATTAAATCTAGCCATATAAAAAAATAACATCAAAATCATTAAAAAATAAAAAAATTATTTATTTTACTTTAATAAAATTAGCTTTCCAGATAACTTCATTTCATTAAAATAAATTTTATTTATATTATTTAACATATTATTTTATCAATTTAACTTTCTAAAATAACATTTTTAATGGGAGATGCTACTAGATGTGTTATATTCCGCTCATGTTCTATGAAGGAAAAAAAAAGCCATTTTCATTTTGTGGCCGATGCGTCCTTGACCAATGTACATGCGTGTCAACCAGCATCCCTCTCCCAAAAGAGCAAGAAGCGAAAAAGCAAGAATTTCATTTTGCTTGCGTCGCGTCTTTTTCCAATTTTTCTTCTATTTAAGAAGAGCACACAAACTTGCATCTCCTGACTAGTCTCCTCAAATTTGGTAAAATTATCAATGCCATCTCTTTCTAATCTCACTTGAGACATTGCTACTCTTATTTTCTTCTAATTAATCATTCCTTTTTGTAGTTAATTTTAAGCCATGGATGGTTACATCCCACACCCCCCTGCACAAGACTCGGCCACAGAAGGCTACTCCTCAGCTGCTAAAGGAGGGCTTGCTGGTGTCCTCGTCATGCTCCTTGCTATCGTCGTTTATGTATTCTTCAACCGCCAAAACTGCCTCGAGGAGGCCGACCCCGGGAAGTTTCAGGTGATCAATATTGTTGAAATGGGAGAAAGGAGCGGCCATGCTGGGAAATAAGTAGGTACCATACCATGTAATAAGAAGTTGAAGCTAATTAAGATTCATACAAATGAGATTTTCCTAATCTTCCAATATTGTTTTTGTATTAATTGCAGGAATCCATGAAGTACCCGGATGCCTCGACTGTTCCTTTTTAGTTATATCTACTGTGTTGTTAGAATCAGACCATTTTAATCTGTACTTTGTATATAAATAAATGATTGGGTGAATTTTGTGGTGGATTTAAAGTAATATCTCAATTAAAATCTTTTTTCTTTATTTTTTATATTTGTTTTTTTAAATGGGATATTCGAACCAGCTTGCGTATATTATGACTAATTTTATATTATGACTAATTTCCATGATCCACTAAATATTTTGTAAATCCAATAAACATGCAAGGTATTAGAAAAATGATAGATATACATATCAAACTCTGAATCCAAATATAATGAAAATATAATGAAAAGAGAGAATTGACTTCTACTATTATCAATTTTTTATATTTATTTTTTACTTTATTTGGAGTGGGGTTTTACTATTATAAATTTACTGTGTTGGCTGCCACTTTATTTTTTTTCGGGGAGCTTTCTTTCTATAGTCTCTTTTTAACGAAAAGAAGGGCGTCCATAAAACAAACACTCACCGCAGCAGTCACCACCAAACTCTTCGTTAAATTGATCGCAGATCCCACTCCATGTCAAACCGGTGGTGTTTCGGTGCGTTGAGCGTCGGATCGGTGCCAACTACATCTCCTCTGCGCGTTGATGAGGGCGGTTTTTCTCGCCGCCATCCAACAAGGGAGCCTTCGGTTGCAGTCGCTGCTGCTTCTTTTTTTTGCTCAACTTCCGCCGCTGGTGGAGTTATTAGCGGCGTGGACCTGGACGGTTGCGTTGGCTGTCGTGATAGCTTGAGTCTTTCGGAGTTTTCGCTTTTCGAGTTCTTTTTTTTTTTTAGGCTCCTGGCAGCTGGATCGTTTCTTTGTTGGCGGCTATGCCGTGGTTTGGTGGTTTTATTGTTAACTGGTTCATTGGTTGTTTTTTTTTCTCCCTCGAGAGAGAGAGAGAGAGGTGAGAATTGGTAGGGGAGATGGGTTGCAGTGGTGGTCCGTGGGTTTCAGTGCGTTAAGTGTGGGACCGGTTTCAGTCGCCCTTTCCAAACTCCACGCATCGCATTTAACAGGGATAAGTAAAAAAATAAAAAATTAATTAAATTTAAAAATTTTAAAAATAATAGAAAACTGAATTATAAAAAAATTAGTTAAACCAATTAAAATTTTAAAAAAATTAACCAGTTTAGTTCACTTTTATAAATTTAAAATTAAAAAAACTGAGTCAAGTAAAAAAAACTAAGCAAAATTTAACATGTTATATATATATATGTTTTAAAAGGCCCTTTGCCTATGGCATATATCATGTAGAAAATCCATGAAAAGCTTGGATGGTTAACAGAGTGGAGAATATTCATGAATTTGACCAAGATGATAAAAGGAATAGCTAGAATCTTGAAAGAGATGAATGTCTGGCCTCGTTATTTAAGGATCGTACGTAAGCGTTTTGTGCTGGAAGGTACTCTAGTACTGCTTAAAGAAGTGAAAACATAAATGCCTCCCTTCGCTGGTTTCGTGCGTCCTTCAACATCTTTAAAGCAATTTCTAGAGCAATATGATAATGCTTTAAAAAGTAGGGCAAAAAAGAAAGTCAAGTCAGAGTATTATTTAAACTCAAATGTCCAATTGAAGGAAGATCGATGATGCCAAATCGAGACATATGATGCCCTTTTATTTACAGAAGGAAGATGATTTAATTATATCAAAACTTTACTCATTCTATAATTAAGTTATCTAGATTAATTAAAAGCTAATTAGGAAGAAAAACATTGTTTGTGAGAGAATTCACTGTTTACCGAAACAGTGTAATGCATATTAACTATTCATTGACCATCCGCCCTGCGGGCCACTAGGCCAAAGAAAGGAGTTTACATTATCTCTAGCCAAAGAGTTCAGCTGATATAAATAACTCGTTTAGCTCATGTATTTCATCTATTTTAAAGTTGCCAAAGTTAGTCAACATATTTGCGCGTGAAGTTTTTGGCAAATTCCTCTTGTACCCTCTCCTGCTCCCCACTCGGACTGGGGGAAAAAGCACCGAAGGAGACCAACATAACATAGAATTATGCTCATTAATTATTGAAGTAATCATGACTGGCCAACAAGTTGAAATGTATATTTGGTTGTTTAAGGACATGGTTGTAATGCATGTCAGGCCGATCTCCTAAAGCGATAATCACCGATGAATTTATGGCTATCTGAAATGAAGTTAGCCAGGCCTTTCCAGACTCCACACATCGCCTTTGCCTATGGCATATTATATAGAAAATCCATGAGAAACTTGGATGGTTAACAGAGTGGAGATTCATGAATTTCACCACAATGATAAAGGAACAGCCTTAGTCTTGAAAGAGATGAATGGTTGGCCTCATTATTTAAGGATAGTAAGCGTTTATTGTTTGTGTATTTGCATAATAATTTCATTCCTTTTCTTTTAATTAAAATCTTGCTAGGCGTACATACATCTTCTTATACATAAAATTAAAGATATTATTGGCTTTGCCGTAGTTTGAAGGGGATGAAAACGTCTTATTTCATAAATGAATGAGAGGTGACACTTCATTCATCCATTTCCGTGTCAAATCACACGTGAGATTGGATGAAGTGTCACCACATCTCTAAGACATTTAATATCCCAATGCCAAATATGCAAGAGGATGCAAAACATGGAATGCTGCCCAATCATCTGTCAAAGTAATGAAGACATTACTTTAACACGTGTGCCCTCCTGCTCTCCTTAAAAAAAAATCAGTAATGTCTCAAGTTAACGTAACCTACGGCTAAAGATTATTACTTATTATTTTCTATTCGATTTAATTTTTATAAAAAAAATAATTAAATTAATTTTTTTAAAAAAAAACTAAAACCAAACTGAAACCGGGTCAAACTAACCAGTTTCAGTTTGTTTTTTAAAGAAAAAACCGGTTTAAATTGGTTTGGCTTGGTTTTTCCGGTTTAACTCTATTTTTCTCAGTTTTGGCTCAGTTTTCTCAGTTTTTCTTGGTCTGGCTCGGTTTTGACTTGGTTTTCTAAGTTTTTCTCTGTTTTCTCTGTTTTTCCGGTTTGGCTTGATTTTTTCTGATTTCAGTTTGGTTTGATTTTTTAGTTTTTTGTTTATAAAATCAAAACCGAACTGAACCGGTCAGTTTTTTCAAAATTTTAATCGGTTTAATCGGTTTTTTTTCAATTTAGTTTTTTTAGTTATTTTTTTTAATTTTCTTAATTTAATTAATTTTTCAAAATTTTTTCTCACCTGCTAAAGACTACAAAATCAGCACAAATGGAAGAGGAGGAAATAGGATTAGTGAATTGACTTGGCACGTGAGATTTGACACAGAATTGAATTTGAATTTGTCTTTTGCCTTGTACAAAATGTCGAAGAACACTTATATTATTGAAAGGTGGCAAATGGGATAAGGTGTCATTGAAAGTCATTTATTCAGGGTATGTTTGGTTTGGAGCAGCAGTGATTCTTTTTTTAAAGTATAATATTTTTAAAGTACAAAATTATATTTTTAAAAATTAAAAAATATATTTTATACATGGGCTCTAAAAAAGCCCAAAATCTCCCCAAACTAAGCACTCTCTTTTTCAAGAATTTAAACTTTAGGTTTTGAATCTGCTCCCGGGTAGGTGGATGTTCGCTTCGTGCGCAAATAAATTTATTTTATTTTTAAATTTTATTTATTTGTATTGTATTTCACTTTTTTTTATTTGATTTTAATTTTTATTATTTTGATTTTTTTTTATTTTTTTTCTATTTTTAATTCTATCTCTTCTCTACCACTAATCTTTCTCTCTCTCAATCCAAACAAATTTGGGTTAGAGGGCGAAAGGAAAGAAAGGGAAAATAAAGACTTCTTGTTAAAATATTAGCAAGTAGTTTTAAACAACAGGGATATAATTAGTGCTGCAACTATATATAGAAGTGTTTTTTATTGTTTTTAAAAGTGATTTTTATTTTAAAATATATGAAAATAATATTTATTTTATTTTTAATATTACTATATTAAAATAATTTAAAATTATTAAAATAATAATTTCAAACAAATAATTTTTTTAAAATCATAAAATATAGTTTCAACCATAAAAATAAACTTTTCCTGAAGTCAGTGTATTAAGTTATACGAAGGTGCTGGGGAAAAGCACAATGTAATTGTCAAATAAGACGATTGAACACGGTATGTAGTAAGTGGGATATGACTGTCGAGTTGTCTGGCCATTTTATTGGTCCTTCATACAACACAAGTAGTATTGCTGCTATTGATAACATGTTTGAAGTAACCTCCATGCAGGTACGCTGAGCCTACAATCATTGTGGTAGATCCTCCACTTGGTGCAGCAATAGTTATAGACGAGAATTGTTGGTTACTGGATGAGGTCTTCTCTGCTCATAATAGATGAATTTAATTTAATTTATTAGAAAAATTATTTAAAAAAATTATTGTTTTTTCTAATCATATATAAAAATATAATTCATATGAAATCATAAGTTTTTATTATTAAAAGAACATAGTTTTTTTTTCTTTTTTCTATCTTGATTATTTACATTGACTTGACAAGATTTACAATGATATTCGTATTGTAAAATATCATTTTGATTTTAGTAATTAAAGTGGCACTAAAATAAATGATTCAAGAATAAAAAAACGAATTTTCATAAGTAAGTTTTTCTTTTCTAATCTATATTGATATTAGAGTCATGTTTTTTTTTAAAATATTGCTTTTATACAGTATATTTATTATTACATAAACGATAAATATAAATTTTGTGATAAAATAATATTTTCATTGAAAATTTTGAATTTACAAAATTTTATGAAGTAATTTAATAATAAAATTTTCTTTTCTATAATAAATTAGAAAAGACTTTTTTCATAGTAATTGGATAATTTTATTATCAATTCTTGTATAAATTGATGATGAAAATAGAGATAGGAATGTTTCCATTTTCATTTTTTATTGACTACAATTTCAATAGTTAATTGGAGTTATTTAGCAGTTAATTAACTACCATTTGATAGTTAAAAAAATTAATAATAATTGTGTTTTGATAGTTTAGTTGAGTGAATTGGTAATGGAAATTTCAATTTCCATTTGTTAATAGAAATTGTGAAATTTCATTTGGTTATATGATAACTGTCATTTGACGGCTATTAATTTTGTTTTTTGAATGAACACATCTTTTAAAAGATGTGTGGGAGTTAGTATATATTAATAATAATATTAAGATAATTAATATTTTTTTATTAATATAAATTGTTAAATAGTAGTGTCAATTTATTTACTGTTAAAATAAATTATTTAATTTCTGAATTTTTTTAACATATATGATGATACATGCTTTAATTAAATATTAAGTATAATTTTTATATACTTTTGGGATATTTTATTGTAGGCGATAACAAATTGATCATTTATTGGATTATGCTTTTAATCCTGTTCACAAAAATCGAAAGCACATTGATTACATGTATCATTAGATGATTAGATTGGCTATGAGTGGTGTTTATGAATTCTACATAAAACATCAAATGTTAATTGTTCTTAATTCTCTACCTGAGGAATGCATGTCGGTGCATATTGTTGGAATATAGGCTGGAATACTTAGATTTCAACAATCTCACAAATGAAATGTTGCTTGATAGGGAACGTCAGTATGCCGAAAAGGTTATACAATGCACTGGAAGAAGCGCAAGTCGTTTGAATGGTGCTGCTAAATTCATTCCATGGTTTGAGTAGAATGAACTTGGAGGAGATGACTTTGATGAATTAGATGACATAATTGGAGACCCTACTTATATGCGTAAAATATAAAATAATTTTAAAATTTATTATTCTTAATATTGTATTTTTTTCTAAAAGATGATTAGTTGTTTAATTGTGAACTAAATATTTATTTAATTTAAGTTTAATTACATTATATGCATATATAGGATAATATATATGATAATGTATATGATAATATCTGCAACCTAATTAGTGGGAGTTGTTAGTTGAAACTAATAACTATAATTTTGCACTCATTTACATTTCTAATAATAATTAGACCATACAAATAGAAATTGATTAGATGTTTAACATTCTTTTCATTTTAATTATATGTGTTAGATTATTATTTGTTCAATTGGAAATGGAGTAACAAAATATGTCAATTAAATTGTACTAAATACTAATATTTATAATTCTTGTCAATAAAGCTTAATATGACTGCATCTAAGAGTATTATTGCTGATTTGAACCATGGAGACAAACTAAGTGAAAAGAATTACGATGTTTGGCATCGTAAAATTGAGTATCTCCTAGAAGAGCAAGAAATGCAGAAAACAATCACACAACCGATGGCTGAACCTGAGCAAGGCTTTTCCTAGTGGAATCATCATCTTGTGGTGAAGGTGCGAACACCGCGATGTTGTTTGGTGATGAAGGAGGCTCTCGTCTTGCGTCTTGATGATGTGTTGTGTGTTGGGAAGAGTTTTTGAATTTAATTATAGAATTATGATTAATATTTAGGAGTCATCATCTATTACTATGGTTACTAGGAACTTATGATCTGCGACAGTCTAAGTAAGAGACTGGTTGTGAAAGGAAAAGACGTTTCACCCCTAATGCACCCTATCTCATGTCAGTTGCATTGTTTTTTGATTTTTTTTCTAAATTGAATTTCTATTTGGTGGTTTTTTCTAAGATTCAAGACAGATCTCTCTTTGTGAAAAAGTTTCTACCTTATCGGTTTAAATCCTAACTGTTCTAAAGTTTGAATTTTAATATGTATTTATTTACACCTTATATTTTTAATACCTGAGAGTGTACTTTATCATATAATTTTACACCACATAAATTTTAAAGTCTACATCTAGAACCTAGGAAAAAAGTTAAAATAAAAGTTTTTAATATTTTGATCAAATACTAATGAATAATTATAAACTAATTATGTTATATATTTTATATTTTAAAATATAAAAAATTATAATTTTTATTTTTATAAAAATATACTTAAAAAAATTTAAAATTTAATCGTATATATAAAAATAATATTATATGATTTGGCGTGACTTCTCACGATCACAGTGAGAAGTCAAGCCCAAAATAATGAGACCAGGTAGAGATTTGAAAATGAGATCCAAAACAATGAGTGTTCAAAACACAGCAGGTCTGTGTTAGATCCAAGTAATTTCTCAAAGGTCATGGGGAGCCTACCTGGGGTGGGGGTGGGGTCACATAGATTTTCAGTTTTTGTCTTTTTGAGGGGGTGGTGGTGGGGATAGGGTCACATAGATTTCCAGTTTTTGTTTTTTTTTGTGCACTTTTCCATTTTCATTTTCCATTTTTTGTCTTTTTGGTTCACTTTTCCATTTTCCTTTAAATCCCTCCCATTTGTTTCCTCCTATTTAAGAGCACCCAAACAACCTTGTTAAGCATCCACACTTGCTCTGCTAACTTGTCTCCTCCTGTGTTTCCTCCTCAAATTTGGTAATGTTATCAGTGCGATCTCTTTCTAATCTCATTTGAGACATTGCTACTTTTATTTTCTTCTAATTAATCAATCCTTTTTGTAGTTAATTTTAAGCCATGGATGGTTACATCCCACACACCCCTGCACAAGACTCGGCCACAACAGGCTACTCCTCAGCTGCTAAAGGAGGACTTGCTGGTGTCCTCATCATGCTCCTTGCTATCGTCGTTTATGCATTCTTCAAACGCCGAAACTGCCTCGAGGAGGTCGACCCCGGGAAGGTTCAGGTGATCAATATTGTTGAAATGGCAGAAAGGAGCGTCCATGCTGGGAAATAAGCAGGTACCATACCATGTAATACGAAGTTGGAGCTAATTAAGATTCATACAAATGAGATTTTCCTAATCTTCCAATATTGTTTTTGTATTAATTGCAGGAATCCATGAAGTACCCGGATGCCTCTACTGTTCCTTTTTAGTTATATCTACTGTATTGTTGCTGACTCAGACCATTTTAATCTGTACTTTATATATAAATAAATGATGGTGTGAATTTTGTTTTGGAGTTAAACTTAATATCTCAATTAAAATCGTCAAAGCAGTAGGTGCCGACTCCATCTCCTCTGCGTGTTTATGAGGGCAGTTTTTCTCGTCGCCATCCAACGAGGGATCCAGTGTTTTGCCTTCCGTTGCTTTCCCTTTTGTTTTCGCGCGACTTTCGCCGTTGGTGGAGTTACTAGCGGCTTGGACCTGGACGGTTGCGTTGGCTTCCGTGATCGCTTGAGTCTGTCGGAGTTGTCTCATTTCGTGCTCTTTTTTTTCCCGATCCTGGCAGCTGGATCGTGTCATTGTTAACGGCTATGTCGTGGTTTGGTGGTTATGTTGGTAACTGGTTCAATGGCTATGTTGGTGTCGGGCGTGCCATGGCGGAATTGCACTGGGCGGTTGGGTTTTTTCTTTTTAAGGGTGAGATGAGAATTGCAAGGGGAGATGGGTTGCGGTGGCGGTCCGTGGGTTCTGGCTTTGTTGAGTACAGAGGTATCAATCTTCTATTACAAAGAAAAAAAATTGCAACCGCGACCTGGAGGAAGGGAGAGACAGAAGGAGATTAAAATTATCGACCTTGACTGGTAATTTTCTTTGATTTTCTTAAATGGATCTTTGAATTAATTGTTTATTATTACCTATACTGGTTGGTTGATAGTTCCTCCCCAGTGGAGGAGTGATGTGTTGCAGTGATGGGGCATGCTAATATCTATGTTTTAATAACTGATTGGTTGAATGAAATGATTTGGCAGAGTATGGAAAGGAGCAGGACATGGGAATCGAAGCATTGGAAGCCATGCTTATGGATGATGAATTTAGAGGTGCTCCTCCCTTTCTTTCTTTTTGATTTTTT